TATTTGTGTCAAACTCTAAATGCTTACCAAAAGCAACCTCAAAAATTTCAAGTTTGACATCTCCTTCGGTAACCTTCTCCAACCGCCCACAAACCACTGGCTGGTAATGGAAAGTCATCTTCTCACCCTTGTGGAGAATAAGATGTCCTTGATTTTTCCTCGCATCTCTATTATGACCAACTACTTGCCTCCCATGCATCTTAATGGCACTCGAATGGACTATCTCGTTGCCACTAAGATTATTGCAAGTCAATATCACACCTGTCCTCATGGATCCTGTATGGACTGCTGCAATTTCGGTTGCCATCTGAAAACAGATTTTATTCTCCCACCATGTTGTGTAGTCCCCTCACAACCCTTTTAAGAACTAGGATCGTAACTCCTCTTTCTAACTCTTCTTTTGCCAAGACCCGAACGCAAATTTTTGCTAACTGTAAAAGACCCTGTAGAAGCTCCACCTGTTATTGTATTCCCTTGGAGAAGATACAAATTCTTCACCTTGGTGCCCTGTAGCACCACAAGAGAATCCATCACGACCAACATTACTCCACCCTCTGTTACAACTTTGTAACCTTTGGAGTCTAGCACACCTACTGAAATAAGATTCATCTTCAAATCCAGTACATATCGCACATTTCACAATGTCCTCACCAACCCATTGTGCGTCTTGATCTTAACTGTTCCAATTCCCAAAATTTTGAAAGCTTTTGAACCACCTTTCACCTCTTTATAGGAAGAGAAAAAATCCCTACTGGGACACATATGAACGGAACAACCAGAATCAAGAATCCACCTGTCATTAAATGATATACCTGAACACAAGGTTGTCATGAGAACATATTCGTCACTTTCCGAATCACTCGTTGTAGTAGTTGCCACAGAAGCTGCTTCTTGAACGTTCTCTTTGCCTTTAGTTTGGGACAGTGCTTGATGATGTGCCCTATCTCGTGACAGTAGTAACATTCCACAATTTTATGAGATCTGGATTTGCCCTTACTACCAGAACTCTTTGTCTCACTTTTGCCTCTTACAAATAGACCCTCGGCCTGTTCATCTCCAATATTCCCAGACACCTTTTTCCTCAACTCCTGAGAGTTCAATGAGGATTTAATATCCTCCATACTAATGGTGACTTTTCCATAGAGCAATGTGGTAACAAAATGCTCATAGGAAAGAGGCAAAAAACACAACAAAATAAGGGCTTGATTCTCGCCATCAATTTTAATATCAGTATTTTTCAAATCCATAATAATAGAATTGAAATTATTAATATGCTCCTTAAGAGGCATACCTTCCTTCATACAAAGGGTGTAGAGTGTCTATTTCAGGTAAAGTCTTTGGTGAGAGATTTCGTCATATACAGACTCTCCAATTTCAGCCACAACTTTGTCACCGTGTCTTCATCAATAACTTCACGCAACACCTCATCAGTTAGATTCAAGAGAATCATACTGCGCGCCTTTTCATCAACCTCCTCCTTGTCTTCATTGGACATAGTTGTTGGCAACTTGTCCTCCCTGAACAGCACCTTCTTTAGACCTTGCTGAGTCAGCAGGGCTTGCATCTTAATGCGCCAAAGACTGAAGCTAATCTTGCCATCAAATTTCTCAATCTCATATCTGGTCGACATCTCAAAAAACTCCCCAAAATAATTCTCGGTGAATAGTACCATATTTGGGAACAGTACCCGAATAGTATCTGTGAATAGTACCGTACGTGTGAACAGTACAGTGAATAGTACCATACAGATGAACAGTATCTACACATAATACATGAACCCGAGCTCTGATACCAGTTTGTTATGAAAAAATGATCGAATAGGAGTTTATGAAAACAAGAGAAAAATAAATTACAAGAAAATAAAAATAGGCACACACACAAATGAGACAAGGATTTACATGGTTTAGCTATGCCTACATCCATAGGGAAAAGATAGAACAATATTTCACTATGGAAATAAAGAGATACAATGCAAAGTGACTCACACCCAAATCCCTTGTACACCCAAATCCCCCCACTCTGAAATAATACTGATACAAATATCACAGTAAACTCATGGTGTAATGCATCCCAAAATCATTATAGTGATATTTGTATCAGTATTATTTCAGAGTGGGGGGATTTGGTTGTACAAGGGATTTGGGTGTGAGTCACTTTGCCTTGTATCTCTTTATTTCCATAGTGAAATATTGTTCTGTCTTCTCCCCGTGGACGTAGGCATAGTCGAACCATGTAAATCCTTGTCTCATTTGTGTGTGTGCGTATTTTTATTTTCTTGTCGTTTATTTTTCTCTTATTCTCATAAACTCCTATTCGATCCTTTTTTCATAACAAACTGGTATCAGAGCTCGGGTTCATGTATTGTGTACTGGTACTGTTCATCTGTATGGTACTATTCACAGATACTATTCAGGTATCGTTCACAAATACAATACTATTCACCGAGAATTATTTTGGGGAGTTTTGTGAGATCTAGATTTGCCCTTACTACCAGAACTCTTTGTCTCACTTTTGCCTCTTACAAATAGACCCTCGGCCTGTTCATCTCCAATATTCCCAGACACCTTTTTCCTCAACTTCTGAGAGTTCAATGAGGATTTAATATCCTCCATACTAATAGTGTCTTTTCCATAGAGCAATGTGGTAACAAAATGCTCATAGGAAAGAAGCAAAGAACACAACAAAATAAGGGTTTGATCCTCGTCATCAATTTTAATATCAGTATTTTTTCAAATCCTTAATAATAGAATTGAAATTATTAATATGCTCCTTAAGAGGCATACCTTCCTTCATACGAAGGGTGTAGAGTCTCTATTTCAGGTAAAGTCTGTTTTACATCACCCATGACTTCATCAGCAACTTGGCAGCCAAGGAGTGTGATCACCAAGTCTCCATGCGTGGTCACCGAGTAGCCTCAGTATGCGTGATCAGCAAGGCCTAGTTGATTTTTTTGGCTATAAATAGCCATGAAACTCATGGTGTAATGCATCCTAAAATCATTACAGTGATATTTGTATCAGTATTATTTCAGAGTGAGGGGATTTGGGTGTACAAGGGATTTGGGTGTGAGTCAGTTTGCCTTGTATCTCTTTATTTCCATAGTGAAATATTATTCTGTCTTCTCCCCGTGGACGTAGGCATAGCCGAACCACGTCTTGTTTGTGTGTGTGCCTTTTTTTTTTTTTTTGTCATTTATTTTTCTCTTGTTCTCATAAACTCCTATTCGATCCTTTTTTCATAACATCTTACCTTCTATTACAACTAGTCTTCTTTGTCTGAACAACGCTTCACTAAGTCTCCAACATATATGCCCAAACCATCTAAGTCTACTCTCTTTAATTTTCTCACAAATGGATGCTACACCTAATTGTCCGCACACTTTCATTTGTTGCCCTATCTCTTCTAGTCACTCCACTCATCCACCTTAACATTCTCAATTTTGCTACATCAAGCCATTGTTCTTGTTTCCTTTTTAGGGCCCAACACTCCGCTCCATACAACATAATTGGTCTAACAACAGTCCTATAAAGTTTTCCTTTTAGCCTATGTGTTATTCTTTCATCACATAAAATCCCACTTGCTTGTCTCCATTTTGCCCAACCCACTCCAATTCTACTAGTTACATCACTATCTATCTCTCCATCCTTCTGTTCTGAGAAATCCTTTGGTTTTGAAGTGCTATCATTATATTATCAATGTCCAAATGGTTATTAAATTTGCACTCCATATATTCGGTTTTAGTTCGACTAATTTAAATCCTTCTGATTCTAATGCATTTCTCCACGTTTCTAGTCTTTTTTGCTAAGTTCTCTTTCGAGATATTCAAAAGCACGATATCATCGGCAAACATCATGCATCATGTAATCTCATTTTGGAATTCTTTCATTATTTCAGCTAAGATTATTGCAAATAGATAGGGGCTTAGCACCGATCCTTGGAGCAAACCTATGTTTATGAAAAAACTCAGTAATGTCACCACACATGGTACAAACTTTAGTTTTTTTTTTTTTTTTTAAATATGGTCAAAGTTAATATGAATTTAACGTGTTCCCCTTTTGAACAATTTCTATGCTACTTTACTTATCAAAAAAAAAAAAATGTTAATATGAATTTATATAATAAACCTTAAAGTGAATTTTTTTTCAGTTGTATTTTTTCTACATAAAGTCCTACCCAACCTCAAAAGTTCCATTAGTCACATGTTATCACATGTTCAACAAGTGTCAGTTATGCAAATGGAATTTAAAAGAATAGATGTCCAATGCCTTCAAAGTGTTGGTGTCTGGAATGTCAGACATGGCCCCTACTTTAAAAAAAAAAAATGTGCTCTTAGCATATTGATTTTGTAAGTTTGTCATACCAGATACCAAATTTTACATCAGATATTAGCATCTCAGGACTGTCCTAGTCCAACAAATTAAGCACATCAGGGCAATCTGATCTTCGGCAGAGAAGAGACCAAATTTAATTTAATTTTCATACTAGGGATGACCTCTATAAGGTATGGAGAAAGTAAGCCAATAATAAGTAGATTAGACATGTAATCAAGACCTAATGCTTAGTGATGGTGTTTTTTTCCTTTATATTTTTGTACATATAATTGTACTAACAAATTTAGATAAAGGATATCATTTAACCTTATCTGGATTCATGGCAATTATTAGTCACTTGATTCCCCTTTTAGGTATATGCCAATTGACAATCATCGTAATTATTTACTTCACTTTAAAATCATGTCAAAAAGATATTTATGTATAATTCAGGAAAAAGAAACGAGAACACAGAGCAACAGAAAAAATAATAATAAAATGTCTCTGAAGACACTTTTTTTTTTGGTAAATAACTCTTTGTTTTATTTTTCACTTCCAAACTTTGCCAAGTAGGCTATAAAGAAAGTAATAAAATATATGAAACAAAATTAACACAGCCCAAGCAACTTGCAGCAATAAAAATTGAAAGGTACAGCACGTGGCCATTTAACACAAGAAAAGAATTATAACCTCCAAACCAATGCAAAAGGTATGTAACTGCGACCCCCACTGGAATGAAGCTTCTGATTTGGCCAAATGGCGTGAAGCCACAGCGGCAACAAGTGATGAGTCCAGTCCTCCAGACAAAAGTACACCAAATGGTACATCTGTCATAAGTCTCTTAAGCACAGCCTGCATAAAATTCAGATTACATCAAAAGAAATTAGAATTCATAAAAATAGAAGTACCATGACAATGAGGTAGGCCAACAATTAGTTGATATAAGAGCAGTCTTCAAATAACAATATTTACTTCTATGTGCTGTGTGGAAAGTTCTAGGCTGAATTGTTAGGAAATTAGTTAGGGAGGATTTTTAGGAATTATCCATAGTTAGATAGTTGACTTTTTAAAATTTTACATAAATAGTTCCTATATTATAGGAATTATGATTTGTATATATCTTTTCCTTAAATAGAATTTGTAATACACTTCTATATATATAGGCCCGTAAACTAACATAAATGTGATATGAAAAGAGAAAATCAGAATTTATTCTTTTTCACCTTTGTGTTCATGGTATCAGAGCCGCCCTCACTAGGAGGGTAAATTACTCCATTGTTCTGCTGATTATCCGATAAAATCAGCAAATATTCATCGTTAATTCTGGTAGTTTATACCAGAAAACTACCAGAATTATAGAAGACTTATTCTTCTAGACGATTTCTTTGGTTAAACCAGCGATGTCTAGAATCTCCACTGAGGAAGTTTCGGACGATTCTTCAAATACTCGGAAATCCCAGATCACTTCATCCGGTTCAAGTGACAATCCAATCCTCCAAATTACCACTCATCGGCTGAATGGACAGAATTTTCTAAGGTGGTCTCAATCCGTAAAGTTGTTCGTCCGAGAGCCGGGAAAGATTGGTTATTTAACTTGTAAGGCCCCAATACATAATTATTTTTATTAGCATAATTTAATTTTTATTAGACATCATTTATGGAATATTTTATGTAGTAGTTTGTATGGTGAAGTTAATAGTTGGTGTCAAAACTTATTAAGTTGGTGACAGCCAATGGTAAGAAAATAAATAATAAAAATGATAATATTCCATGTGTACGTGTGTGTGGTTATATGTGTGATACTAGAGAATGGGTGTCTACTAAGGTCATTGGTGCTGAAGGTAATAAATGGTGGAAGTGGTGTGATGGTTCTAATATATATTGATATACTTATGTTTTATTTTAAAGTTTGACCAAGTAGTTATTTATATATATGGGTAAGTTATTGACCAGGTCAAGTACATATTCCACCCACCCATGTATGTAGATATCTAGTAATACACTTTATTCTAAAAACTTCCAAAGGAGGCTGTTACTAATTGACACACACACGCATGAGTCATGAAGAGGGGAAAATCACATTTATATCTAAGTGACACGTTGTCTAGAGATTTGCATGGACAAGAAAAAGAAAAAAATAATAAAAATACAAATAGAAACAAAGGAGGGATTTTTCAGCCGTAGAAGAAGAAAAGACGGAGAAGAGGAGGAAGATAGAAAAGAGGGAAAAGAGAATTTTTCACTAGATTATGGTAAAGGTAGAGGAATTCATATCTTTGCTTACATAGAAGTTGATTTATATATATATTTTTATTATTCTTCACAAGTTGAGCTATTTAATTCATTTTGATGATATTTTAAATTTCATTGGTTCTATCCTTGATTGAGTGGTTTTCTATGAAGAAATACAAATTTGGTTGGGTATGTGTAAATTTATATATATTGATAACTTTAATATATATTTAATTATTATTATTATTGTCAAGGATGAGATTGAGTAGTGGGTTTTGCAAGCTTTGGGTGAAAAGTTGTATATGAGAAAACAAAATTTTAGTTTCTGTAGCCATTGTATTGAACCCATAAAAATTAGTCAAAAGACAAAACCCATGGGATGAAGAGGCTGGAGAGAGAGTGAGGAGGAAAGAGAAGAAAAGAGCAAGAAAGAGAGAAGAAAAAAATGTAAAAAGAAGGAGGCGAGATTTCTCTTTGGAATTGTGGTTATCAGTATTAAAGATAGAGAATTTTTCTATTGAAGGTTTATTGTGTGGTATTTCCATGGACAATTTGGTTAAATGGTTCTACCTACAATTACATCTATTTTATTTATTTTACTTGATTCCAGTACTATAATATTTAAATTTAAATACTTGTTAGTTGAAGAAATTGTGGAGCTGAAGTTAATATAATTATTCTTGTTATACTTTCTACTATAATTGTGTGTGGAATTGGGATTTGTTATGAAGTTGATAATTGTCGTTCAATTATATTTAGAAATGCATATAACATAGTTATACTATTGTTCAGGCAAGGAGAAAGAGCAAACAACTTCGACCCTATCAAAGGATAAGTGAATAAATTGGGAAGTAGTTAAGGTGAGTGTATTCACTGAAAGTTTTACACTTGAATGTGTTAAATTGAAATATTGAAGTCATTTATGTGAAATGAAGATGCATAAATATATATATATATAAGGTCCATACTCTGGCCTGGAAAGAGAGTACTTTAAATGAGGTCCATACTCTGGCCTGGAAAGAGAGTACCAGATTTAAATAAGGTCCATACTCTGGCCTAGAAGGAGAGTACTATAATATATAAGGTCCATACTCTGGCCTAGAAAGAGAGTACTATATTTTAATGCATGTAATATGTTAATGAAGTTTTATTGAAGCTATCAGATAATAGTTGTTTAACATTACTCTGATGTAGTAGTGTTGCATTCACTGGGCTTTAAGCTCACTCTTTCCATATCTATATTTTTTTCAGGTACAAGGTTGGGTCGCTACTGCCAGGTCTAGAATTTTTGAGTGGGAATGGGAAAAAGAACAATGGAACGTCTTTTGTTTAATATGTAAATATTGTAATAGAATTTAATAGTATAAGTTGCCGTTAATGTTTTTTTTGTTTGTCAGAATTTGCATAACAGGCCTATAGGTAGTTTTTGAATTGTAAACTGTTAAACAGGTGCTCTGATGTAGGATGACGTTATATTTGAAGGAGGTTAATGCAGATGGTTAGATGCATTCCAATTTATTCAATTTGTTTAATAATGTAAATTGGGTTGGGGTGTGTCAACTTTTGGTATCAGAGCCTAGGTTTTCTAGGTTCTGGAGGTCAGAAGAGTCTAGACTGGCAGTGGCAGTAAGAAGTGTGTAGTAGAGTCATTTATTTGACTTAATGTTATACTAACAGATATAAGTGGTGATTATGTATCATATATATGTTGTTATATTTGAGATTCATTGCAGATAAAAAGAAATGGAAAGGGAAAGTGGTTATCATGGAACTGAGGGTGAAGCCACTTATGTTCCTGTTGAGGCTGAAGTAGAACAACCTATGCAGGGTGGTATGAGAAGAGAACAGGAGTGCTTAACTGGTATGCAGAAAATGGAAAAGGCTATAATAGACTTGGCAGAACAAAATAAACTATTTATGGCGAGTCAAATGATGATACAAGAAAGGCTGGAAAGACAACAGAAATGGAAGAAAGGCTCTGAGTATGAGAGGTTTATCAAGTTAACACCCCCAGAATTTTCAGGTACTACCAAACCAGAAGAAGCAGAGGGGTGGGTAAGAAGAATGGAATCGATATTTGCAGTGATGGGTGCAGCAGAAGACCAGAAGGTAAACTTAGCTACATTTATGTTCAAAAATGAAGCTAGTTATTGGTGGGACACGACAAAACATTTGTTGCTCATTCCAGGAGAGAAAGAGGTGATATTCTGGAATCCATTTGTTAAAGCTTTTTATGAGAAATATTTCCCTCCAATTTACAGAAAAGAGAAGGAACGGGAGTTTATTCTCTTAAAACAAGATAGAATGTCTGTGGTTGACTATGAAGTTAAGTTTACAGCTTTATCGAGGTTCGCACCCAAGTTTGTACAGAATGAAGAAGATAAATGTACAAAATTCCAGGATGGTTTAGAGGCGGCTATTAAGTCTAGAGTTTCAGTGTTTGAGGAAACAGATTACAACAGACTTGTGAATAAAGCCATGATTGCCGAAAGGGATGTGAAAGAATTGCAAGAAAGAAGGGAACAATACAAAAGAAATAGATCTGAGCCGTCACAGTCAAGAGGAGGTGAAGGAATTGCAAGTCAGAAAAGTCAAAGGTCGCGGTATGGAAGGGGAAGGGGTGGTGAATCTCAAGGCCAGACATCAAGTATTGGAAGAGGTCAAGGGTTTTCCGAACAACAATCTGTACAACAAGGTAGTTTTGGAGGACGTGGTACTGGCAGGGGGTGTTTTCAGTGCGGAAAGGAAGGTCACCAGAAGAAGGATTGTCCTATCTTGAAAGCAGAAGAGTGCTATCATTGCCATCAGCCGGGTCATCGGAGGAGAGATTGTCCTATGTTGACAGGAATGACCTCAGTGGGCAGTGTTGCTGGTTCTGGTAGAGGTTTTGCACAGGGGAACTCGTCAAGAGGAGGTAAGGGTGTTACAAGTGGTTCGCAAGCCCAGGGAAGAGTGTTTGCTATGACACTTCAGGATGCTCAAGCAACACCAGAAGTGGTGACAGGTACACTTTCTATTTTGGATAGAAATGTTACTGTGCTTATTGATCCTGGCTCAACCCATTCATTTGTTGCATCATCTATTGCTATGCATTTGGGTAGACCACTTTCATCATTAGATAGTAAATTGTTTATTTCTACACCAACGGGAGAAGTGGTAGTGGTTGCAAATGAATACCGGGATTGTGTGTTACAATTGGGAGATAGACAGTTAAAGGTAAATTTGATACCGTTGGGTATACCAGATTTTGATATCATTTTGGGTATGAATTGGCTATCTGCGTATCATGCTTCAATAGACTGTTTTCGGAAGGAAGTTGTTTTTCAGATACCAGGGGAGCCAGAATTTAGATTTACAGGAGAAAGAAATGTTATTCCAAACTGTCTCATTTCAGCTATACAAACCAGGAAGTTGTTGAAGAAAGGGTGTCAGGGTTACTTGGCTTATGTGGTTGATACTGAAAATAAAGATATGACACTTGAAAATGTACCAGTGGTAAGGGAATTCACAGATGTGTTTCCAGAAGAATTACCAGGGTTGCCAGTGGACAGGGAGGTAGATTTTACCATTGAGTTGGTACCAGGAACAACTCCAATTTCTATTGCTCCGTATCGAATGGC